TGTTCCCAGGATTTTATAAAAACGAGGGTAGTTCTCGCTCCAGTTACAAGGCAACCAGCAGGGATGCTGAGATAGTCTTGGTAAATTGGTATCTCTGGTCTGTGTAACTGTGTTAGATCTTCTATAAGAAGTGGTTCACCTGAATCTTTTTGTCTCTTCTTCCACATTTTTGAAAAGCACAACTGTACTTACATCAAAATTACCAGCAGGAAATAAGACTTTATTCAGCTACTAAACTCTGATGTTTTGTAATTTCCTATTGCACAGCAAACATTTGAGAACAGTCTTTACTGTACCTGTTCCATTCAATTTTGGATTCTTCTTGAACCAATTCATCCAGCTGCAATAATACACCTAGCTGGAAATATCTTCAAGAAAGAGGAGTGGTCTAGTGCTTGAGGGACATTCTCACAGCACAGTCTGTGCTAGGAAGTGGGTTAAGCTGAAAGCAGCATTGCTAGCATGCAGAGAAAAAAGAAAATGGGTCAGTGATTTTCTTCTTTTACAGATACCAGTAAGTTAACTGTTTAAGAAAGGCTCTGCCAAGTTTTGCATTAAAATCTTGTACTTTTTAAGGTTTACTGTATCTGGATTAAAAACAGCCCATCTGTGTTTACTTAGATTGCTTTTTTGGCGGGGCAAGGAGAACAAAGCATACACTTAGCTAGTGCTCAGTTGAGGCATTATAAGGGAAAAATACTTGCAACACCTGGGAGGGAGGAATATGCAACTCTGAAGATCTTTGCTGTAAAACTCTTTCAACTTCCCAAGGTTAGCCTCTAATTTTTATAACGCTTTTTTTTTTTTTTTTTTTTTTTTTGCACCTTTTAACTTTGATGGACTCTGTTTTGGGGGAGTGGTGTTAAAGGTGTTACCTGCAATATGCATTTGCCTTTGTGTAAAGTACACAAGCACTTCATGGTATCTGTGTTTATGTCTGGTCAAAGGCAAGAAGGCTGCTCATTGTCACATTGCATACTTCTATTCTAACAAAATATGTGACAGTTAAATCACTCATGCAGAGTGTTTTCTACATGCATGTATCAAGAAGTGAGATTTTTGCTAAGCCCCCAAGTCAGTTCCTTGCAGGCTTCGTTTCTGCATTCTGCCTGTAGACTGATTCTAGATTGTTTATATACCAAAATGCTCAACAGACTTGATTTAAAAATATATATATAAATCAAGGTCAATAGAAAGTTCATACTGAGTTCAGGAAGATTTGTGTCAAGCCCCCAGATCTTTGCTCTGTAAGTCTATACAGTCCTTGTTTGTCAGTTGGTTTCTGTTCTTGCCATTTTACTGTCTTTTTTCTACAGAGAATGAAATACTCCTTTCCTTTCTTTGGTGAGCCTTGTAATTTATCAGAATTTAACTTCATCTGTGGTGGGGAAAAAACAACGCAATTTGACACTGCTTAAAACCAATGACATGCCTCTCCTTTGTCTGTTTCCTAGTCAGGCTTTGGTCTGGCATTAAATTTTATTTAAGTATGAGATTGCAACTCGGAAGGGCTTTCATCGTTTTTCTGTTTGACAGAAAAGCTGTGTATTGTCAGAGTGCAGAAGGCAAGCTGAACATAAACATCTTTATGTAGGTGGAAAAGGGCTGGAGTTTCCAGTGCTTTCAGTTTTGGGTCCCTCTTCTGCAGGAGTGCCATTTGGCTTCCTGTTCGTAGAGGCCTGGGCAGGTGGGTGGCAGTCCTGTTTCTTGAGTTGTACATTATTTGAGAATGGAGAGATGGCGCTTGGGCCATACAAACACCTGTTCAAGCATCTTTTGCCATACTCATAGTAATATTTACCTGCTCTAGTTCTCTCCTTTTAGCATCTCTATTCACTGTCTTTTGTTCACATTTATTTATTTCTTTCTGCGTCTCTACTTTCTACTACTCTACTTTCTCAACTTTCCCTTCCCCCCTCACCCATTTCCTCTTCAATTTTTCCTTCCCTGCCAATTCACTCCTTAATTTCATTTTGCATGCTGCCTAGAATACTTTCTTCTGAGTCCTCATCTAATTCCGTTTTGATTAGTTTTTTATTTTGTGTAGAGATTGCATATACAGACAAGAATGTGTAGAATTTAGGCAGTTGTTGGATAGCTTCCTAGCACAATACAAAGCTTGCCTTCAAGTATTTCTGCGTGCTACCAAAAATTATCTAGTACAATGCACAGAGCTCCTGTGCTCCAAGGCACTTTGCTCATGTTAACTGCACTCTTGAATCAAATATTGTTTGGATGAAGTGGTAATAACATTGTGAAGGATGTGTCTGCTCTGCTCTGGATGTTTTTGCCATGTTAAGAGTAAAAAATCTGTCAATAAATGGATAATTTAATGAGGAGAATCAGTAAGAAAAGGATCCTGTTTTAGAAGGTTATTGAACTGAAATGGAGAATTTTTTGAGCGAAGACTAACGCAGTTCCAGTGCTGCTAGCTGCCAGGAGATAATAAAATGCAGTTAAAAAAATACTGCTATTGTTCAAGAAATACTGCAGCACAGCACCAGTATTTCAGCTTACAGAAAGGCTGATGTGTTCACTAGCACCAGGAATAAGTGCTGTTTCATGTAATCTCAGTAGCGTTGTATTAAGAGGAGAGTTTAGAAAATATAGGTGTTCACCTAAATCATGTTAACACTTTGAGGAGCTGTGAACACTCGTAAAACCTTCAGTGGGGTGAGAACGCCAGCAAAACCATGCTCTTTGCCCCAAACAAGATGAGATTAACTAAAACTCTGAAGGGTGCAGTCCTTTTAATTCCAGTTTCTACATGCCACATTCCTAGGTGCAGAAATTCCTGGGTCTGCCAGTTATTTCCTTGCTATCTACAGTCATACCAGCAAAAATAGCCTATAGAATATTTTAAGCATCTGCTCTGGAAAATCAAGAGGCTTCAGTAAGAAGACATTGAAATGATTTAGAACACAAGTAGTCATTGTGATATCTTTGATCAAGATGGCTATTGGCAGAAGTCATCAGCTTTTTCCTCATTTGTTGGGAGTGTAACTACTTACAGATACATTTCTTTTTTAAAAAAAAAAAAAAGGCAAGCACATACATCCTCTCTAGTCTCACTGAACAAATGACAGACTTCCTCTTTTTGTATCTGGTTCCTCCCATCCTGATCCATTTCATGCACATCCATGACAGAAGCAACATTTCATAGTTCTTCATTTGCTGTAGCGGTTTTACGGGCTCCGTTCTGGGGAACAGCCCTGTGCCCTCAGCCCCTTGTGTCTGCCCCAGGAAATCCTGTGAAGCGCTTTGGCATTTCCTATGGGTGATGCTAAACTTTGCCTAATCTGCAAGTAATGTGCAGCAGTAACTGTTCTACCACAAATGCCGAGTCCTGCCTGGACTCGGGCACGGCAGTCAGCAGTGCAGCCGCGCAGCAGCAGAGCCCTGCCACGATCTGGGCTGGATTGGTGATGTTCTAGCCATGGGGTTAAGGGAAGTGATTTTTTTTTTTTTTTCCTTTCTCTATTCAGAACCTGAGACACCACATCTGGAGTGCTGCATCAGGTGTAAGAGAGGAAAAAGTAAATGTCAGAGATTTTATTTTTGTTCAGTCGCTGCTTTAAAAACTCGGTGCCTTATATCCAGGACTGGTGCTGCTTAGGTTGTTTGGTTTCAGTTCAGAGACCTGAGTCGGAAAAGCACATTGGATCTGTCTGAAGAAGTTGGTTTTGATCTGTAGCTTTGCTTTCCTTTCCCTGGTCCCCTCATCAAGTGGACTGTGGGGATTCCTTGCAGAGGGACTGTTGCATTTACAAGGTTAATTGCTCATCTTCATGGCTGCTGGGGAAGAAGACAGTGGTTGCTGGGGCTATGGCTGGTTGGCCGTTACCCTGCAAAGTTTAGTGCTTTTGTGCATCTCCATGATGCCATGCTGACTGTCCCTGGTTGGTGTTTGTTGGCTCTGACAGGTGGTTCCCAGTAACTCTTTTCCCAGTTATTGTCCCATTCTTCACAGTGGAATCAAGTGAAAACTCTCCAGGTGAAGCTAGTGAGATTTGCATCTCATCCATCTTTTCTGGGGACTTTTGAAAAAGCTTTTATTCTTGTGTTGCTTAGTATCAGTTGTATGAGCTGCTATCAGTAGTATGGTCTTTGGCATTCTCAGATCAGTCCCCCACACCTGAAGAGAACAGTACTGGCAAGCATGTCCCGGGCTGCTCTTGGAGGACAACTTCCTGCATGTCAATCCTTGCAAAAGACATGCCTATGTCTGAACTGTTTACTAGAGGCTCCCTTTATTGTCTATGATGAAAACAGTCTTTTCTAGGGTGTCAATCAGCTGGTAAGAGGAACTGCGTACCTCAGCGGGCAACATTTGGTGACAGTCATTGGTGCAGACATCTGCTTTTGGTCAGGTCTCTTCCCAAAAGAACTAGTCCTAGGTGTCCAGTTTGTTGGTTTGACTTTCGTGAGTTGTTAAATAGGTCATGGGAAGGGCGATGAAAGTGTTCAGGTAAAGGAGAATGTCTTTTAACATGACCTCTCCATGTTTCATTGAGGAAGTAGTGAAGCATGTAGTGAGACTTCTCAGCTAAGACCTTGACTGGCTTTCATCCTAGTCTTAAATGATCTCTTAAAACTCAGTACTGCTGGAGCATATGAATCTAAACTATGATGGCACAACAGAGACATCTATTGCAAGAGGGCATTTCTGATATATAAAATAGCAGGATTTATTCTGATATATGTATCTCTCTAGCAAATCCAAAAATTAACTGGAAACAGGATTTTATGTATGGGAAGAATTAGAAAAAACTATATGTTCTGTTACAGTACTCAAACTGATTTACTGGGGGAGGGGAAGGGCAAAATGATAGTTTAATTATCTGAAAGTTGAAAACATTGCTAAAAAGATCTGTGCAATAAATAAACATTTTCTAATTGCAGATTACTTTAGCACCATGAAAAAGTACTTTCTCCTCTCCTCCAGGCAACTTCTTAAAGTCAGGACCTCATTAACTAAAAAATACTTTCTCTTTTTACAGTATATTCACTCATCAGGCATAATTCACAGGGTAAGTGGAAACACTATAAAAGATGTTTATATGCTGATAATGTGAGTGGTGTTTGTGTATAAGTGTGCTCATAAATGTGCCTGAACTTTTGTTTATAGTGTCTCTATTTATAGTGTTTGATAATGCTTTAGGTTCTTGTTCAATAGGAACAAAAGGTGGTATGGCTACATCAGGGTAATTTGGGCACTCAAGTTGCATTGGATACAGCTTAGATTTGGATTTCTCAAATCACTTTGTGAAGTTGAGTTGTAAGTCTCTACAAGAGCAAATAATGTCTACGCTGAGATGGATAAGAGTTTTTTCTGGCTTTTTTAAAAATTAAGATTAAATTTCTATGAACAATCTTTAAATGTTGTTTAAACATCGTGTTAATTCTCAAAGTTGGGGGCAGGGGAATGAAAACATAGAAATGGAAAAAATAGTAAAAAATTTTTGAACCTCAAAAACCTCATTTTTTTCCAGAGAGAAATTAAGCATTCAATTCTTTTTGAATTCCTTCTGCTGTGTCTGAAGTCCACTTAAAATCACGTTTGCACTGTGAAGAAGGAGTTCTGAATGATGCCTTTGTGGTAGCAAACAGCTTAACTTCCCCCAAAACTGCATCAGAACAGTAGAAACTGGCTGTTAGTAATAAAATACCAGGAGTGCAATGGAAAAGTGCACATTATATAGTAGCGTTAAGCTGGATATGGAAACTATGCAAACTGCCAAAATAACGTAATAAATTGATGTTTTTATTTCTACAACTGCTGTGATCATGGTCTAAATTTACAGTTGCCTAGACTTTTTCTAAGGTCCCTCTTGAAGGCTCTGGAGCTTCTTGGTTTCATTACAGTTCTTTGCACCGATTTGTTTCTCTCCAAGGCCTCTCTGATCTTAGAACATACTCATGAAACAGCTGGATGCCTGTTAAAAAGTTCAGAGAGAAGATTCCTCTAAATGTCCTGTGCTAAAGTGGCAAACAAAGCTTTGCAAAAGCTGAAGGAAAACTTACTTCTGATTTTTTTTCTTTCTCTTTATTGTAACTGTGAATGTCTAAGAGTCACTGACATTGCAAAATCTTAATTATTGCCAGTACTCTTCCCTTTGCTGCTGAACTTAGAAGTACAACTTCTAAGTAGTACAACAAAGATCATTAGAAGTCTGTACAATAGCTGAAGAGGCTTAAAGAATTTTTTTTTTTATGTTGCAGTCTTCATTTAATTGACTTCGTTAGGAAATTGATTTTTCCCACAGAAGAGAGCATAGGCTTTTATGTAAAATCTTGTTTGATTCCCTCAGTACTTCTTGTAGGTCTATGAGGGTATGGAACCTTTTTAAAGTATGTTTAGATATGCAATGGATACAGTCCAGGAATAGTGAAGGAAATTTTTTTTTACTTCATGTCAGTATATGTGAATCCTGAACTTTGTAGTGTTAGTATTAAATGCAACAAATTTATGTCCAAACGCCAGTCACAGTAAGATGAGTGAGTTCCTTTACTGGCAAGTATTTTCCTGACTTCTAGCAGAAAAAAAGTTGATTTGTCTAGGGGTAAAACACACTGGAAAAAAGCCAAATCTATTCAAGTTTGTGTCTTTATTTCTGTTATTTGTTATATTTAATTTTCTAATTTAGATTTATGACATCGTTTTATCTGTTCTAAGTAGTCGTATGAAAACCATTAAACCTAAATGAAAGAAAGTGTGCTTTGTTTTATTGTGCTTGCTGTAAAGTAAATAAATAACATCCATTTCAAATCTGATTATAGGACCTAAAGCCTGGAAACTTGGCAGTAAATGAAGACTGTGAATTGAAGGTAGGATATGTTTATTCAAAAAAAACAGTCGATGTATTAGAAACACACCACAGAAGACAACGGGTGAAACAGCTGTGGACGTGCCAGCTAGTTTCAATGATGGGCCAGGTTTTCAGCCCATGAGCTTTGAGGAGTCATGGAGAAATAGGGGGAGAGGATCAGATGGGCAGTGGTAACAATCTTGAAAAAAATTACAAGAGGCTGCTCCTTGCAATTGTTTTTGCAAATGCAAATGTGCATTTTGTACGAATGGCAGAGGCGATGATCGGTTTCTGAGATCATTCTGGAGCCAAGCACAAGAAATGGCTGCGCCTCAAGCTGGAAACGTTGCCCACGATGTCCCAGCTGAAAACACTCGGTGCTAACAGGGGAGAGATGGGGCTTGACTCCAAGACATTGGGAAGGATTTCTGGTGAGGAAGTCAGTGCCACAGGTTATTACATTCATGGCATCGTTGGAGCAGTTGATGACTTGGGTCCCTCCAGCTGGATGAAGGGCAGCGGATTTGGTGTTGAAGGAGCAGTCCATGCCACAGCTGCATGCTCCCACCAAGCACATGTGCGTGACACTAATAGTCACCCTTTTCCTGTGTGATGTGTATGTTGCAATGAATACTGGTGTATTTTTTTGCAGTCACTCAACTGAAAACACTTTTCGAGAAAAAATCATGTCATGGTTACAGTTCAGTAAGAGCTGTAATGGAGAATTGTTTTTATGATACGCTGCAGCTAATCACTTCAGAGGGGCATGAGAGGAATCACATACTGCTTATCACCAACAAGAACATCTTATTTCTTTGAAAGTGATTCCTTCTGCACTGCTACAACTAACAATAGTATAGACTGTGTATTTCATAGCAGGAATATATCAGTTCTGCTTCACTTTTGCTGTTAATTGAAGTAGTGAGGAAAAAAAATTCATTAAAGGGAGACAATTTCTAATTCAGCCTCCTATAGTTCAGCTATTACCTGTTTCTGCTGCTACCCTGCAAGACAGATGTGCTTGGTAGCATTTTTTGTATTACCTGGTTGCTGCTGCTCTGGAGTGGGCAAGTATTGACTTCTGTTGTGACTCCCTTCGTCCTACCCATCGGGGCATCCATCCAAAGATGAGTAGGAGGATGGTGCACACCCACACCCCTTCCCAGCATGGAAACTGGGCTTAGCTAGCAATGCACCCTCGGAGACCAGTGCTGTAGCACTCGTTGTGAAAAGTTATCTCTCCTGAAGTGTAGGCATTGCCACTTCCTTGGAAATGTTCTCAGTAGAGTCCATCTGAGTAGTAATTCTTCTGCACATTTGTCGCTTCAAGCCCCCTTCTAAGTTATTGAACTGAAATACTGAATCTGACCGGTTCTGATTGCACTTTCTTACATGTATTGGAAATCTTCCAGAGCCTGTTAGAGTGGATAATATTTGTACTTCGCAATGTACCCTGACCTAGCAAGAATGCATCTATTTGGCTGTGTAGAATGACTTTGTTACAAAAAAAGCCTATTATTTATTATGAAGTAGAATTAATGTAGTACTCAACACTGCTTATCAGTATATTCTATTGAGTGTAGAGATAGTAGCCTCAGACTGCTTCCAGTCCCTAGTTAATTCAATTCTTGTATTTTAATAGATCATTATTAATTTTTAGAATTGTTTTTGTCGCCTGTCTTCTCTTAGCTCTAGCAATCTGAAAGGCTAGTCAAGGTTTTTTCATTTAATTACAAAATCAAGCTATGTCTTCTGTCCTGTGCTTGAATTGTGACTGGCCTATACATCCTCACAAAACAGCAGTACATTTGAATGGGAGCTTTTGTGTCCTGATGTGTAAGTACACTTAGATTTTATGTCCAAGGTTTCCTCCCTAAAAGAGACATAAGGCTTTATGAAAGTAGTTCAGTTAGATGAGAATACCAGCTTTGAAGAAATATAAAAAGTCCCACTGCAAGCTGGGAGATACAGATCGAATGTTGTGAAGCACTCTCTTAATAAAATAAAAGTTGATGCAACACTGCAAAAATGTTTTTTAGCATATTACATACAAATTACATACTTGCATGTAGCTGTTGTAATACAATTTTTTGCTCTTTGGAGACTAATCTGAATATTCAGGGTCCTGTCGTTTCAGAATTTCTCTACCTAACACAAAAAGCTGTTGTCACGTCCTGGCTTGTGGGTGGCCAAACGCTGGGTGGGTCCCAGGGCGATGGGGAAAAAAAGAGAAGCTAGAAAAAGCGGTTGTACGTGTTTCTCTTCCCTTCCCTTAGCTGCGCAATTATGTTTTGAGATGCAGCCCAGGTCTAAGACATTATTCCATGATACAATCACTGTATCTCCTTATTTAACTCAACTTATTTTTCTGTTACCTTGGACATTTTTAAGCTTTTAGATAAACTGAGGCAAATAATTCTGTATCAGAACACAATTTTGTGAAATGACAAGGAGAAAATGTAGCATTAAGCTTTAGGTTTTGCTTCTTGACTCTCGGAGTGAAATTACGCTGTCCCTGGTTGTATGATAAACTCTGGTATCATATGCAGAAGAAAAGCGCAAATTTGCCGTTAGGAAATACCAGTTGTCAAAAAGCAACTCCGGTCTGTAAACAGAAAGCAAACTATATTGTGTTGAGAAGCATGCATAAAGAATAGCAAGGCAAGGATTTAACTGGGATCTCTTTTACACTGAAGAAGTTGAACTGAATTCCCTCACATGCGTGTGTTTGGGTGCAATAGGCAGGATGTGATCCTGCTCGGAGAGCACGCTGTCAAAGTCAGTTCATGTGGGCACAGGACCATGCTGCCAGGGATGGTCCAACCCTTTTCCCCCATGTCTGTGCACTCAGCAGCTTCTCTTCCATGAGCTCCGGCAGCGATGTGGCTGTAGACAAGTTGGAACAGTTCCTTGAATTGGTAATAATTAATAAGCAATCAGTTTTATTTTTCACAGTGAGCTTTCTGGCTCCCTTGTCTCATGCTCTCGACTGCTACATGGGATTCAGAAATGTGATAGTGAAGGGTGCCTTAGGGGAAATCACTGCCCTTTCTGGAGTCTTGAAGTTACAAGTTATTTTTGTTACGGTTATTGAAGCAAGTTGGGAAAATAAAGTTTGCTGAGTACAAGGGGAGCTTATCCTTGAGGAGCTGAGGAGAATTTGCTCTCTCTTTCATAATTCCTGCGTTATAAAAAGGATTTTAAAATTTGCCTTGAAAATTGCTTTGGAAGTTCCAGCTGAGAAGTTGAAGATTGGAGTACGAGAATAATAGTTTCATGTGAAGATTGTTATTGAAGTGGTATCATGTTTATATTAATGACTAACAGGATACACGTGTTCCTGACCCTAATGAATATGTAAATGAAGTTAATACATAATGCACAAAAATTCTTGCTGTTGTTTTCTGCTTTTATGAAAATACCAACCCAAATTATATTTTAGCTGTCTCCAAGTGTCAGAAGCCTTAGTATGGAAAAGGCCTAAAAAGCTGTGACAGAATAGATGGTACCACATGTGGCTTTTGACCTATTATCTAAAACTTCCTTTTTTCTTCCGCCTCTCCTCCCATGTTACTGGGAAGACATATAATGTGTGTTGTATGTGTAGAATAAATTTAAAAGCTGTAGATGAAAGTGTGTTTTGTTATTGCATATATTTTGATTCCAGTAAATCTTCAGTACCCAAAGTTCTGAGGGGTGGCTTAGGCTGTAATCAACTGTATTTTATTGGTAAGAATAAAAATATCTCCCTTGGCATCCTATTCTTGTTTTTAAATTGGTAGGTAATCAGCAGTTACAGGGAAAAGATAGAAATGATATTTCAAGTATAGCAATAAGGATAAGCCATGATGTTTTATACTCTTGATCTGTGAATGAAAAGATAATTTTCATTTCTGCTCGTTCCAGGGAATGATAAAAGTGTCCTGAAATATTTTAAAATTTTTAATTACAGAGAGCATTACAAAAGCATCACTCTTGGTATATAGTGCACAGGTGCTCCTAGTAAAAATGTCTATATGAAGCCTGATAAACATGGCAACTAGTGGCTGTTCATGCAAAGCTACATATTCAAGTAGCTGTGCATGATGATGATTTATCTTGAATAGACTTTACTTACCCAAGACTCCTGCTTCTTCTTAGAAGCCTGAACTTCCTGATAATTATGAACTGACTGCCATTCCAGGAGTGTTCCTCACTGTTGGCCACATCTTTTAGCACCATATTTTGAAGGTCCATAAAGGTGGACCTTTTCGTTAGCCAATTTTGTAGAAGTTGACAAAAGGCTAGAACATTCATTTTTAATCTTGCTGCTGTACATATTGATATATCTACAGATAAGTATCTTGAGAGTCTTAGAAATAAGCTGAATTGTGCATAATCTTAAAAAAAAAATGCATTGACCTTGCATTTCTCACAGAGAGTTGTTCTGAATACTGCGTCCAGTTCTGGTGTCCCCACGATAAGAGAGATATAGATCTGTTGGAGCATGTTCAGAGCAGGGCCACAAAGATGATCCAGGGGCTGGAGCACCTCTGCTACGAGGACAGGTTGCGGAAGCTGGGATTGTTCAGCCTTGAAAAGAGAAGACTTCGGGGGGACCTAATAGCTGCCTTCCAATACCTGAAGGGAACCTACAGGAAGGCTGGGGAGGGACTTTTTACAAGAGTGTCCACTGATAGGACAAGGGGAAATGGGTTTAAGTTGAAGGAGAACAGATTTAGATTAGATCTTAGGAAGAAATTCTTCAGTACGAGGGTGGAAAGACTTTGGAATAAATTGCCCAGAGAAGTTGTGGATTCCCCTTCCCTGGAGGTGTTCAAGGCCAGGTTGGACGGAGCCTTGAGTAGCCTGGTTTAGTTGAGAGGCATCCCTGCCCATGACAGGGAGGTTGGATTAGATGATCTCTGAGGTCCCTTCCAGCCTATGCCATTCTATGATTCTATGACACAAGTAGGCTGGGGAAAACTTAGTGGGGCTAAATAATCGTAATTCCCTACTCTTGTTGAATATTTTCAATGTGACCTAGAGGAAGCCTTCCCTTATATAAAAAAAAAAAAAAAACACAAAAAACACAAACAAAAACTCATAAAACAAAGATGATAATTCCTCCTTACTTCAGAATATTATTGGAACGCACTCTTGAATAATTGTGCCATCCAGAATATGAATACCATCTAAGATGGGTGCTGTTCTTTTAGTCCCTAACAAGCTACGATAGTCATTCCATGGTCAGGGAATTTTTTGCATTAAGTGAGACCTCTATGTTTTTAATTAATAATTGAATAATTTGTTCTTTACTGTTTTTACAGCTTTTAGTGTTGCTATAGGAGTATCTAACATGGAAGAAAAAAAAATCACAAAGCTCCTTGCTACTTCTGCCTTGATTTTTCAAATGAGAACAAGACGCTTCATTGAGAAAAAAGATGCAAAAATAAGCCAATCTCTGCAGAATGCTCCAATTTCCACGTTTGTAAAGTCTGTATAAAATAGATAACTATTTGTCTGATCAGGATGTTCTTTGTGCTTCCACTACAGATTCTGGATTTTGGATTGGCGAGGCATACAGACAGTGAGATGACCGGTTACGTGGTTACAAGGTGGTACAGAGCCCCAGAGGTCATACTTAACTGGATGCATTATACGCAAACAGGTCAGCATCTCTTCAGAAAAGTCTGAACAGAGCTGAAGCATTCACTGAATCAGACAACATATAAGCAAGTCTTTGTTTCTGAAGTGAAGGAGAAATTGGAGGTGGAAATGACAATATAATTACGTAAAACTTCCTTGTAGATAAATTGCAGGCAATTGTTTGGTGGTTGTGAGTTTGGGGGCTTTTTTGTGTATTTTCTGAGAGTAACAGAAAGTGCCAAGGCGGTTGGAAAAAAGCGATATAAATGTGTATGGATGTGGCAGTCTGGTCTACGTTCTTGTGTTCTGCACTGACTGTCATCTTCCTGCAAAGACGTGGTAACTCCAACAGACGGGGGAAATGGCAGAAGGAGGAAATTCAAGTAATGCTTGGATAACTAAGGGAGTTTTTGAAAGCATTGAAAATTTACTTCCCATGTGCATCTGCCCGTTACTGAGAAACTGATTCTGTACATTATCAGATTATTTCCAGTTTGCTAATTAGGCTGGTAGTTTTACCTATACTGTTCGTCATACTTGGCAAGGCACTCATTTAGTTTGTAGCAAGCTATAAAGGTAAATTTTTCGCTTCTTTAAAATATGTTTTAAATGAAACTTTATGTACATTTAAATGGACAAGTATTCAGCAATTTAATCTGACTGTTGGTCTTTTTTTTCAGTTGACATCTGGTCTGTGGGCTGTATAATGGCTGAGATGATAACGGGGAGGCCTCTGTTCAAAGGAAATGATCGTATCCTTCAGTGAATTTATGACACTAATGTAAGACAGTGATGAGAGGTTCTCATGTGATACACTAGGACTGTTCAAAAACTGATGAGCATAAATTGAAATGAAGAGCAAAATGGCTTGCACCTTTCTCATTAATTGATTGTTTGGTATCTGTACTGCTTTTGCACATCTGCAAATTAAAACTTGTATTACTGAGCTTTTTCAATAGAAAAAGAGAGGTGATCTTTGAATCGTGTTTCAAATCATCAGGTAAAAGGTTCTGTGATGATAGAAAAGGTATATTTTGATTTTTTTTAGTAATAGATTCCACAACTCCAGAACACACACAGAAGATTCTGCTGTAGCATACAGTTGTGTGCACATCCTAGTCCATTTCATGCTTTTTGAGACTTTTACCAAAAAATGTTAGGTAAGTAACATCTAGTAAAATGTTTTAGATTTACAGAAGACATCTAGTGCTATCATTTCATTGCTGAGGAACTAAGAAAATATTTAATATTAAGACATAATTCAACCTTGGCAGAAGTACTTGTTATAGTTAATAGAGGACAGTGTTAATAGAAGACAGCAATAATTTTTTACTTTTTTTTTGTTTCCCAGCTTTGTATGTTTCACAGCTCAGCCTAATCATTTTGCATTGCTTTTCCCCATGTGGAGTTCCAATCAATAAATTGCTTGTCTGCAAATACTTGTTTGCAAAATCACAATTGTTTAATTTTTAGTTATATTTGTATTTAAGTCTTGCATGTAAAATTAGGACTTCATTGTATGGATCATACTATTCTCATTTTGCGAGGAAAAATTAAAAAACGAAGATTGCATTCACCAAAAAAATGACAGGAACTATGCAAAAGTAGAATACATCAAATTATTTCAGCTGTACAGATTTTAGGTACACATTAGTTCTTAACAAGAAAATACTAAAATGCCTGCCAAAGAGCACCTGCTGACTAACATAGCATTTCTCAGCTAATGCTGACTTTGAGCATTCTGGTACATAAATAAGGAAATGAATGAGTCATGATTTTCAAGTTGCACTGTAAATGTAAGAGTGGAAAAGCTAGTATTTTAGTCATACTGAGTTTTGGAGATTTTGGAACTATTGGCTGAAGTTCTACGTCCTGTGTTACAAAGGAAATTACTCCAGCATAATAGTTCTTGCTGGCCTTTGAGTATGTCAATCAGTACTACCTATTGTCAGGGACATGCAGCCCTGACAATTTTCCATTCAGGGAAATGGAGAAGAACTAACACAGACTGGTTTCCTGTGATTTTTGTTCTGTTTATCGTACCACCTGATGTGCCCTGTGACTTTTTCTGCTTCTACATCACCTAAATATTGGATAGACCAGGTCAATGCATGCAATACATGTGTTGATTGTTCAGGTACTCCAATATTTTTGAACTGATTTTGACAAAAATATAGGGGAGACCTGATGATATTAGAGTTTGCAGGTTATTCAATTACATGTTCCCAAGTTATAGGATATTTTATTTCAGGTGCTTTCAATGTCTTTGCCTTTTGCAAGAAAAATTGAGAACTTTCATCTCATCTGCTTGAGGGTAGGGAGGCCCTTCAGAGGGATTTGAACAGACTGGATCATTGGGCTGAGGCCAATGGCATGAGCTTTAATAAGGCCAAGTGCAGAGTCCTTCACTTGGGGTATAAAAACCCCAAGCATCGCTATAGGCTCGGGGAAGAGTGGCTGGAAAGCTGCCTGGCGGAGAAGGACATGGGGGTGTTGGTTGACTACCGGCTTGATAT